TAAATTTCTTTTATTTTTAATTTTCTTCTAATTTTATTTAGTTTATTGGAGGTTTAAATAGAATTTTAATGAAATTACAGTTAAAATTAATTGCAATGAATTTAAAATTAAGATTAATTTCAATGAAATTAAAATTATTTTCAATGAAATAAAACTGATAAATTAAAATAAGACAAATAACTTGAATGAAATTAAAATTAAAAAATTTAAACGATATTAGGATTAAAAAATCCAAATCGAGTTTAAATTTTAAAAAAATTGGTAATGAAACAAAAATTAAATAAAATTCAAATTAAATTTTTTTGTTTAATAAAAATTAAATTAAAATTCAAAGCAATTTAAATAAAAATTCAATGAAATTAAAAAAATTTAAATCAAATTAAAATTAAGAAATTAAAACGAAATTAGAACGAAAAAAATGTTAATGTCATAAAAATTAAAAAATATAAATTAAAAGACACTGAACTTAAATTAAAATCTAAAAGACACTTGAATTAAATTAAATTCAAATTCAATTAGAATCATTTTCAGTTAAATGTAAATGAAAAGTAAATGAAATTAAAATTCAATATAAATGAAATTAAAGTGAAATAAATCATTAATTAAAAAAACATAAGCTTCAATTGAATTTTGTGCCAAAAAGAGAAAAAGTGAATTATCAAAGAGATTCTTTATTGGAGCTCACAGAATTAGAAATCAAATATAGTTAAAAAGCTCCGGAAACTATAGCAAGATAAAAATTTACGATTCTCCGAGTTCTAATTCAACATAAAATTCAAGTACATCTCTCGTATTCTTTTAACGAATTTCTCTTTTGCTTTATACGCTTAAATTTTTCAACCTAGTGGAATGTAAGAACACACAAGCTATGAATTATTTGCAACCATGAAACTGGAATTGGACCCTTTTTTTCTCTCTTCTTTTTTTTCAAACCCAAGATTTTCCAAAGCGAAACGATAATTTTTTATTCAGTTTTATTGGCTCTCCTCTTAAGGGAAATCTTTTCAGGTTTTTACACCAAATTTCAAATTCAACTCGTTTAATTTTTCACAAAGAAGAACTTTTAAGCGTTTAAATAAACTTTTTTTCCTTTGATCATCATTATTACAATATTAAAATTTTATTACCAAAAAAAAAACTAAGAAAAAAAAAATTCTCTACGAAATAATTTCCACGAGATATTTTTTCTTTTTTGAATAATTGTCAGTTTGTTAAAAAAAAAAATTAATGTAAAATCATATTGACTGTTCAACAATCTTTTTTTTCCAGCTTGTAACTATTTCTTCTTTTTTTTCACAAATAGAAAAATTAGCTTTACTGAAAGTTTCACAAACAAAAGTTTCTTGTTCTAGTGAAGTTTCCATCGAGGTGATCATCGATGCTCTGTGACCTGTATTCAACAGAAGTTTACTTGAAAGCGTTATAAAACTCATCTTCAAATAGAACAAATATATATTCAATGGATTCGTATTTGTATTCAATTTATTATTTTCTCTCCCCTAGTTTCCTCGATTCAATGATGTAAAAACATTTCGATCTATATTATTCCCATGTTATTATTAGTCATAATTTTCTTCTCGTAAAAATAATCCGTCGAATATCAGAAATTGTAATTTTTTTCTTACAGAACCAAAAATTTTTTTCTTACAGAACTTTTTTTTTGGGAAAATTAAATTAAATTTCCGTAATTACTGAGATTAATAATAATAATTTAATAGTCACTTGAATAATTAAAATCCACTTAAATAAAAGTTATCTAATTAACAGTTAAACCACGTGAAAAAAAAAATTAGTCGACATTAATTAGCAAAAGAAAATGTACACCATAAGTTTTAATTAGATCCACAATGACTTCTTTCTGTAAGTGAAACGCACAATGATAAGAAGTCTGAAAGAGGAAGCTAATTATTCAACGAGAAACAAGATAAGTTGATAAAAAAATAAGATTTTGCCATTCCTGCAAATTCTTTTCAGACTAACTTTCTCTATTCGCAAAATATTGAAAAATAAAAAAAAATAGTGAAAATTTTATTCGTTAACTTTTTCTACACTCAAAATAATGGAAAATAAGAAAAAATAAATAATGAAAATTAAAAAAAATTTATTTACAATTGTAAATAAATTGTACAATTGGGAAAAATTTACTTTTTTTTACTCGTTAACTTTTTCTACTCGAAAAATAAAGAAAAATAAAAAACAATTATTGCAAAAAAATGTACAATATTATAAAAAGATTAACTTCCATTAAATATTAATAGCAAAAAAAAAAATAGTTGAAAAAAAAGTCGTTTTTAGAACTATTAGAGTCAATCAATTATTAAAGCCAATTCAAGCTTAAAAAGAAATTAGACTAATTATGAATTAATTCCGGTAATTAAAAATAACTTTCAAAGGAATTTTTACCCCCAAAAAAATGGTAATTATTAAAAAAAGAAAAAGAGAATAGCATTTCGAGAGAATTAAAAAAAATCTCAGTGACATTCCAAAAAGTATTATGATAAAATTGCGCGAGTTATTTTTAAAAATAGAAAGTTAAAAATATTCGAGAAAAGGAGATTTGTCATTCGTTCAAATATATTTATCACACTTAAAAGTTCTTCTTTCTATTTCTTGAAACGATTCCTTTTTCCTAAGGACTTACGGCAATCATTATAAAAAAAAAATAAAAGAGGAGAGAGAAGAAATATATCGAGAAACGATTAACAAAACTTTCCAGCAGTAACGATATATTTTACACGAACTTGTCTCTATTTTTCACATTACTCTAAAACACGACGAAAAAAAAAAATTTATTCGCAAGAAAAAAAAAAGTCTCTTCTGTACTCTTTTCAACGAGAAGCAAAAAAGATTCAGTCACTTTATCACCAAAGTGTATTAAAGAAAGTGTGTTTTCTAAAATTTATTTGTTTTTAGATTACATTAAATTAAAAGTAATTGAAAATTAATCCAAATTATTTATAGAAACATAATTGAATTTCAATTTTGGTCTAAATTATAAAAAAAATGAATTAAAATGAATTAATAATGAATCCAAATTATTAATAGAAAAATAATTGAATTTCAATTTTTCTTCTGGAATAAATTAAATTAAAGCAATTAGAAATTAATCCAAATTATTTATAAAAAAAAATTGAATTTCAATTTTTTTCTGGAATAAATTAAATTAAAGCAATTAGAAATTAATCCAAATTATTTAAATGGAAAAATAATTGAAATTCAATTTTTTTTGGATTAAATTAAATTAACTAAAAATTAATCTAAATTATTAATACGGAAAAATAATTAAATTTCAATTAATGTCAGTTTGAAAAGTAATTTAATGAATTATTTACAGTCGAATGTCAACATTTATTCTTAGTCAGAAAAATATTTTCTCGTGTGAGAAGAAATGTAGAAATTCAAATTCTAAATTTAAATTCTTTTTCAAAAAAAAAAAAAAGAAAAGTGAAAAAGAAAGTGAGGAATTATTATCACTGAGAATTTATTTGAATAAATAAAATTGAAATAGAGAAAATAAAATATTCGAATAAATAAACATAAATTCAAGTGAATTTCAAAAAAAAATTCAACTTTTCTATTAAAAAAAGAAAATTACGAAAAATTTTTTCATAATAAACGAAGAAAAAATTTTGAAAAACACTCAGAATGATTTCAAAAAAAATAATAAATTTCGAAAAATGATATCAAAACGAAAAAAAAGTGTAAAAAACATTCGAAATGATTCATAAGGGAATTTCAAGAAAAGATTTCAAAGCATGTTTGAAAACAAACGAAGAAAATACGTAAAAACCACTCAAAATGATACAAAAAAAATAAATTTCGAAAAACGATAAAAAACAAAAAAAAAAGTGTAAAAAATATTCGAAATGATTCAGAAGGTAATTTCGAACAATGTTTGTTAACAAAAAGTAGAAAAAGTGTGAAAAACAGTCAAAATGATTAAAAAAAAAATATAAATTTCGAAAACAGATAAGAAACCGAAAGAAAAGTGTAAAAAACATTCGAAATGATTCAAAAGGTAATTTCAAAAAGAAATTTCGAAAAGTATTTGATATCAAACGAAGAAAAAGTGTAAAAAACACTCAAATTGATACAAAAAAGAAATAAATTTCGAAAAACGATAACAAAAACCGAAAAAAGTGTGAAAAACACTCAAAATGATTCAAAAAAGAAATAAATTTCGAAAAACGATAACAAACCGAAAAAGTGTTTAAAAAAAGCATTCGAAAAGATTCAAAAAAGAAATAAATTTTGAAAAATGATGACGAGACGAAAAAATTGTTAGAAAAACATTCGAAATAATTAAAAAAATAAATAATTTTCAAAAAGCGATAACAAACCGAAAAAAGTGTCAAAAAACAATCGAAATGATTAAAAAAAGAAATAAATTTCGAAAGACGATAACATGCCGAAAGAAAAGTGTAACAAAAAATTCGAAACACTTCTCAAATGGAATTTTAAAACATATTTGATAACAAACGAAGAAAAAATGTAACAAAAAAACACTGGAAGTGATTCGAAAAATAATAGAATTTTCGAAAAACGATAACAAACCGAAAAAAAAATGTGTTAAATTCACTTTCGATCCAGCCAAGATGTTTCATTCTCTCTTGGACATGAAGGGGTTGCTTCAATGGAAGGGTGAAAAATTGCAACAAAATCACCAAAACAAATAACACTACTTCCTGGTGGTATGCCCGGTGCGGGGCGGGTCTTCGAGCAGAAAATCAATGAGAACAGCATTGTAGAAACGCGGTCCAGAGCATAATATACTCTAGGCATCAGTGGTTTGCGTGTCTTCTTCTCTCTTGTTTTTCTCCCAAGATCAATAAGAAAAAAAAAATTTTTTTCCTTCTATTTTTCTTTTTTCTCTGGGAAAATAATTTTTGCCCAAAATATATTTTGGCGGTCGTCACGAGCGACAAATTTGAATTCGCGGCTAAATTTTGTACGTTGTTTTTGTTTCTCTCTCTCTCTGAATGAAAAAAAAAAATACATACCTCGCGCGCTCTTTTTTTGTTATCGTAGTAGAAGAAGAAGAGTGATAGTCCAACTATTGTGGTGGCAGAGACTATATGAGAAGCGGAACCGATGCAAAAGACGAGAGGCGACTGGCGCTGGTTTTCCAGGAGCTGCTGCTTCAGATGAGATTACAACAAGCGGGGGCCTATGGTGGTGGTGGCGGCGGCGGCGTCGACGACGGTGATAGCGATGACGATGTTGATGGCGATATGGTGGTGGTGCACGACTTGTGCAACGCGCGGCGAAACGCGGCTGCGCTGGCTGGACTCGTCTCTCTCTCTGTGACTCCAAATACCAAATCCAACATCCGACCTACGACCTGGGTGGCGATTCTCTTTCCTCCCAATTTAAGCGCGCCACACTCTCTCATGCGCCTCTCCTAAAACAATATTCAAATGTCATCAAAACATGCCAAACAAAATAACGCTAATGACAATATTATTGTGAATGCAATAAATAATTAATTAGCGGGGAAATTATTAGTAATATAGCTGAAAATCAGGAAAATTGTCAGTCAATATTCTAAAAAGAAATTTTTAGACAAAATTGCAAAAACAAAATTGTCGACTAAATTATTTAAAAGGACAAAGTTGTAGACAAAATTGCAAAAACAAAGTTGCAGAAAAAATTGTAAAAATAAAGTTGTAGACAAAATTGCAAAACCAAAATTGTAGACAAAATTGAAAAAACAAAATAGTAGGCAAAATTGCAAAAACAAAGTTGTAGACAAAATTTTAAAAATAAAATAGTAGACAAAATTGCAAAAATAAACTTGTAAACAAAATTAATTCTTAAAAGAATTCAATTATTCTTAAAAATTGAGATAAAACTCATAGCAAAAATTCAATTATTTTGAAAACTTTGATTACAATCATTATGAGAATTAGAATATTTTTAATTCAATTTTAATGACATTCCTTAAAAAAAATTCAATTATTTTCAAAAAATTTTTAATTAAATTCTCAGCAAGATTTCAATTTTTTTCATAATTAATAAAATTCTGCAAAACAATTTAATTATTAACAAAAATTTTAATAAAAATGTCTTGTAAATTAATTATTTTGATAAATAATACAATTCTTTGCAAAAATTCAATTTTTTTCAACATTAATAAAATTTATCACAAGAAATCAATTATTTTCATAAATAATAAAATTCTTCAGAAAAATTAAATTATTCTAAAAAATTTAAATAAAATTCTTCGCAAGAATAATTCAATTATTTTTATAAATAATAAAATTCTTTACAGAAATTCAATTATTTTTGTAAATAGTAACATTTTTTTGCAGGAATTAAATTAATTATAAAAATTTTGATTAAATTCTTTATGAAAATTGAATTATTTTTAATACAATTTTTAATTACATTCATCGAAAAAAATTTAATTATTTTCTAAAAAATTTAAATTAAATTCTTAGCAAAATTTCAATTATTTTCAAAATTAATATAATTTTGCGAAATAGGTAATTTAATTACAAACAAAAATTTTAATAAAATTCCTTATAATTCAATTATTTTTAAATAATGCAATTCTTTACAAAAATTCATTTATTTTCATAAATAATTCGCAGGAATTCAATTATTTTTAAAAACTTTTATAACATTCATCACAAGAATTTAATTATTTTGGTAAATAATCAAATTTGTCACAAGAAATCAATTAAATAAATAGTAAAATTCTTGAGAATTCAATTATTCTAAAAAAAATTTAATTAAAATTCTTCGCAAGAATTCAATTATTTTCATAATTAATAAAATTCTTCCCAGGAATTTGATTATTTTTATGAATAAAAATATGCATCTCGGGAATTCAATTATTTTCATAAATTCTGAAAAAAATTATTCTGAATAATTCAATTATTTTTGTAAATAATACAATTCTTTGAAATAATATAATTATTAACAAGAAATTTAATAAAATTCCATATAATTCAATTTGTTTGATAAATTATAAAATTCTTTACAAAAATTCAATTATATTCATAAACAATAAAATAAATAATAAAAGTTGAAAAATTTCATTATTATTCAATTATGTATTTTGGTAAATAATCAAATTCTTCATAAGAATTGAATTATTTGCATAAATAATTTATTTCAAAAATTTTGACTAAAATCTTTATGAGAATTGAAATATTTTTAATACAATTTAATAAAATTCATCATAAAAATTTAATTACTTTCATAAATGAAAAAATTTATCACAAGAAATCAATTATTTTTATAAATAATAGAATTCTTAGCAAATATTAAATAATTTTTTTAAAAAATGCATAAAATTATAAAATTATTCTCAATAATTCAATTATTTTTGTAAATAATAAAATTCTTCACAAGTATTGAATTATTTTCATAAATAATTTCAATAATTTCAAAAAGTTTGATTAAAATCTTGATGAAAATTTTAATGCAATTTGAATTAAATTCCTGGAATTAATTCAATTATTTTCTACAATTTTAATTAAATTCTTAGCAATATTTCAATTATTTTTATAATTTATAAAATTGTTCGCAGGAATTTAATTATTATAAAGAATTTTAATAAGTTTTATCAGAAATTTAATTATTTTGTAAAAATTGAATAAAATTATTTATGAGAATTGGATTATTTTCAAAAATAATAAAATTCTTCAGAAGAATTCATTTATTCTAAAAAATTTAATTAAAATTCTTCAGAAGAATTCAATTATTTTGGGAAATTTTTGGTAAAAATCTTTATAAGAATTGAAATATTTTTAATATTATTTTAATTAAATTTCCCGTAACAATGAACTTATTTTTAGAGATTTTAATTAAATTTTTCGCAAGAAATTTAATTATTTCGAAATATTTGGATAATTTTCTTTATAAGAATTCAATTATTTCAAATTCAAATGTCAAAATTATTAAATTAAAAATCAAATCAAATATTAAAAAGATAAAATTAAATTGTAATAAAATTAAATTTGAAAACATTAAAATTAAATACGAAAATATTATTAAAATTGTTCCACTAAATACTTGAAACAAAACTTTTTTAATATTTTATGAAACGAAATACCGAGAGTTAGTATTTTTAAATCAAGTTTCATTATATTCGAAAGTTTTTAAAAAAAGCGTTTAAACTTTGATGTAATAATAATTTAGGATATATTAAAACTCGCTATTCATAAAGGAGAATAAAAAAATGTCACGATGGAATTATAAAATATTCTGTGTGTATAGAATAAATTGTAAAGAAGAAACAATATTATACCTATAATCTGCAAATGAAAAAAAAGAAAAAATCTCTATATTATACAAAACCAATTGAAATAGTATATATAGTAATTGTTTTAAAACTGTATACATTCAAACGATATTATTTTAATTGTATTTAATCATATTGAAAGGAATACTCACCGAAGATCCAACAAAATGAAACTCTCCATTTGAAAAGCAAGCGAATTGAAAATTATTCTCCGTGCAAACTTTTTATATTCCAGATTTACCTATGTTTTAATAAGACAATTATAAAGCTCTTCTCAAACAGAATATCTGAAAGAAACGTAAAATAAAAGGTAATTTCTAAAAAATTAAGACAAATGAAAATTTTGAGACAACATTAAAAATAATTTCTGGAAATGATAGAATAAAAAAGAACTTGTTAAAATTAATTAAGAGAAATAAAATAAAAGACGAATTAAAAAATAATTTCTAAAAATTAAGCTAAAATAAAAAATAAAAGACGAAATTAAAAAAATAGTTCTTAAAAATTAAGACAAAATAAAAAAAAAACAAAATAAAAATTAATTCTTTATTTTGTCTTTAATTTTTATAAATCATTTTTGCATTTTGTCATATTTTTTATAAATTATTTTTTCAATTTGTCTTGATTTTTAGAAATTTTTTTTAATTGGTCTTAATTTTTAGAAATTAATTTTACAATTTGTCTTAATTTTTAGAGATATTTTTTTTATTTTGTCATTTCTAGAAATTGTTTTTTAATAATTGAGACAAAAAAAATTATTTCTAGAAGTAGCAAAAACAAAAATAATTTCATAAAATAAGATCAAATAAAAAATACTTCCTCTATGAGGAAGTAATAATTTCCAAAAATTAAGAGACAAATTGCAATGTTTAGAAATTATTTTTACAATTTGTCTTAATTTTTAGAATTTATTTTTTTTTACTTTGCCATTTTTCTAGAAATTAATTTTTATTTTGTCTTAATTTTTAAAAAAATAATTTTTCTATTCTGTCATTTCTAGAAATTGATTTAAAAAAAAATTGAGACAAAATAAAAATAATTTCTAAAAATTAAGACAAATTGCAATGTTTAGAAATTATTTTTACAATATTTGTCTTAATTTTTAGAATTTATTTTTTTACTTTGCCATTTTTCTAGAAATTAATTTTTATTTTGTCTTAATTTTTAAGAAATAATATTTTTATTCTGTCATTTCTAGAAATTGATTTTAAAAAAATTGAGACAAAATAAAAAATAATTTCTAAAAATTGAAGACAAAATAAAGAAATAATTTCTGAAAATTGAAGACAAAAAAAAATACAGAAAAAATAGTCTCGTTAATTTATCGAATAACAAAATAAAAGACAAAATAAAGAAATAATTTCTAAAAATTAAAACAAAGTAAAAAAAAAAAAATAATTTCTGAAAATTGAAGACAGAAAAAATAGTCTCGTTATAATTTTCGAATAATAACAATTTTTTTTACCTGCAGCCTCTGAGACGAATGAAAGAAGAAAAAATAATAATTTCAAAATGAATTGCTAATTTACTTTCTGATTTCTCTCTTTGGAATAAAGATTTCCCCGCAGTGCTCGTTGTGTTTATACCCGGTACATGAGTGATGAGCCAGTGGCATTCCAATTTTCTTCTTTGATTCCAGATCCTCCGGGTCCATTAGCCTTCTTCATTCTCCAAGTTTCTATGTATACCTCGTTTTCTACTCGCGATTATTTTCAAACTAAATGAATGCCATTCTATACCTTGCTTCTTGAATTTTCCTTATGTAGTTAAGGGACTCGATTAAAGGTCACAGTTTTTTTTTTGTCTTTCTCGATCTTCCAAGAACCTATCAAACCTTTTGCTTCTCTCTTTTTCTTTTATTTTTTTTTTAATCAGAGACAA